TTCTTTTGTTTTCTACTTTGTAAGATTTAAAATGCAATTTCTATGCCTCTAATAATATCTGTACCACCATCAGCTTTAATTGACTTTGTAATAGTTTAAAGGGATTTTTTATTTTAATTGTTCACATTTTTTAGCCCACAAAGCTGTTTGGCTTTAGTGTTAAATGTGATTAATGATAATCTATCATTTTCATTGAGCATCTCAAGAAGTTAAAGTATAGTATTTTTAACATTTTCTATTTTTGAGCAGCCACTCATAGATCCAGAGTTATCAATTACGCAAATCAAATCAAGATTTGGTCTACCTTCTAATGGATTTGATTCAACTTCCATATCGTTTGTCTAGTCTAAGGTTTTGACTGAAACCATAACTGGAATAGTCTAATCTTGATTTTTATTGAACTAGAAGTGCTTTTGTAAAGTTTTCACATCTAAAACGAGTCCCTTTTCGAGATTCTACATTTATTTTTTATGGTTTTTTGAGTTTACTACCTTTTAAATTGAATCTTCTATTTACATTTCTGCATATTTTTAGGCTTATAAATTATCATAGAAATTAGGTAGTTGATAAAAAGATGGTTGATATAGTTACTATGGCATTAAAAATGGTAACTATTATTATGGAGACACCTATATAGGCTTTTATAGATTAAGTGTTGGTTATTTTCTTTTTGTGTAAGAGCGTTTAGTGTTATTTGGCTTTTCAGTTTTAGGCTTTGAAATTTGTTTAACTTTCTCAACAGATTAGGTTTATTCTACTGATTAAAAAGATTAATTTTATGAAGGCTGTTAAGGAGGTTAATTATCTTTTTATTGGTTGCTTGTTTGATTGGGTATCATAGAATTAATATTTATTTTGTTAGATTGAATGATCTTTTTTGATTAATTACTTATTTAATTGATTTCCGAGTCTTTTTTTAAATCTTTGCTTTTTTTAATTAAAAATAATTATTGAAATAATCTTTTCTCCCATTATTTTTAAACAAATTTCGCGTCTCCAACAAGTTTATTAATTTCTGATTAATAATATTTAATTGTTAAATTAAACAATCTCACTGCGTCTCCAATAACTTTTCTTAACAAAAATAAGCAATTTAAATATTTTTAAATCAATAATAAACAATACATTTTAAAATATTTATTTTATATATTATTAAGTTTTAAGCTCTTACTTTTTGAACAAACCATCTGTAAATTAGATTGATTAAAAATACTTTTGCGCCTAATAATATAAAACCTTTTTTACGTTTACTATTCATTAAAGTAAATTAAAAATAATTAAAAAAAGTGTCTATTATATGCTGTTTTTTTTCAAAACCTTATCATTTTTTGAATGGCATCTTGCTCTTTATTAATATTATAAATTAATAGTTAATACAAATATAAGAAATTTCCATAAATGGAGTATTTTTAAAGAAGACTGGCCTACCAAAACCTCACCTTAGTTGGGAAGAAGAGCTAAAATAAATTAGCAGCGATAAATAGACTGTAAGCTCTCTAAGAAGGTTTCACTAATTTAACAAGGGGTATTTATATAGACCCTCCTAAAAAAAAGTTAAATATTTTCATTCAATTATGATAGTAAAATTGAATAACCACTCCCCCCAAATTTTTAATAAAAACTTATTGTAATTCAGCTGACATTATGTATTTATCCAGTCAGCTGAATTTCAATACCTGGATTACCAATATAAATATAAAAATAAATCTAACTATCTTTATTTTAAGTTAAATTATCATATTACAAAATGTTATATAATAATACATATTATTTTCAATTTTTTCAAATATTTAATCTTTCTTCATCCTTTTTCGCCATCATTATTTCTCGAAATCTATTTTTAAGAAGACTAATCTTTTAAATTTAAGATACTTGCTTTTTACTTTCAATTATTATGATTTTGTATTTTTGTTTAGACTTTTATAAAAAATTAAAATAAATTACTAAAAAAAATTGGTAAGAATAAATTGTTTTAATTAAAAATTATATTTAAAATTAAAAAATAAAAAAAATAAAAATATAATAAAAAAGAAAAATAAATCATATAAAAAATATAAAAAGCTAATAAATAAATTATTTGAGTTATATTGTTTTAAATTCATTTTTATAATGAAAAATATCACAATCAAAAACAAATAAGCTGTTTTTACTCAAGATTAAGTACCAAATTAGAGAGATTAGTGCAATTTGCTAAAGCAGAACCTAGATCTGATGCACCTACTGCACCAATTAAATTCCTACTTTTTAAATATTGAATTAATTAGTTATTTAGAAGGAAAAAATGAAGAAAAATATGAAATAATAAGAAATAAATTAATAAAAGCAAATGTTGAAAATAAAAAAATGAGCTAAATTAAGAAAGGTAGAAGAAGAAAAAACACAAATACGTAAAATCAAAAAAAAAAGAAAAGTAAATCAAATAAATATTTAATAAACAAATTTTAAGAGTTATATTGTTTTAAATTTATTTTTATAATGAAAAATATCACAATCAAAACAAATAAGCTATTTTTACTCAAGATGAAGTACCAAATTATAGAGATTAGTGCAATTTGCTAAAGCAGAACATAAACCTGATGCACCTTAATCACCAATTTAAGAAGGGCTAAGCGACTCGAGTGGGCGAGTCGGAGGGTCTTAGCAGTGATATCGGGGGTTCGAATCCTATACCGCCCCCTTTATTTCGAAAAATTCCATGTAAAAATGTGAATGTTACCAGCGGTCTCCTTGGTAGGAGGGAAGGGCCAAATCTGATAGGAGGTAAAGAGGAGGCCCCATTCTGAACAGAAGATCTGGAATACAAATGGGAAGCGAGCATAATGCGTAGTCAAATCATGGAAGATTAGTAGAAATGCCATTAGGGTGTAGGTGACCCTTCCCTTCTAGTATATTACCCACAATTATATATAAATAAATTGGTATACGTATAATAATAATGTATAAGAAATTATATATAGGGCCCCTATCCCGAGTGCATGTAACCATGTGCGAGTATGTATGTATGTATGTATGTATGTATGTATCACCAATTTAATTCTAACTTTTTAAATATTTAAGAAAAAATATTTAATTAATTATTTATTTAGAAGGTAATAATGAAGAATTATTTTTTTTAATAGGAAATGAATTTAATAAAAGCAAATGTAGAAAATAAAAAATGAATTAAATTAAGAACGATAAAAGAAAAAAAAACGCAATTGAAATCAAAAGAAAAAGAAAATTAAATCAAATAAAAAACAAATAAACAAATTAGAAAAGTTTTTTAATTTTAAATTCCTTTTTATAATCAAGAATATCAAAATCCAAAGAAATAAGCTGTTTTTACCGAACATAAAGTACCAAATTAGATAGATTAGTGCAATTTGCTAAAGAAGAACCTAAATCTGATGCACCTATTGCACCAATTTAATTATTACTTTTTAAATATTAATTAATTAGTAATTTAGAGTGAAAAAAATGAAGAAAAAATATCAAACAATTAGAAATGATTTAATAAAAACAAATGTTGGTTGAAAACAAAAAAATGAGATAAATTATGAAAACTAAAAGAAAAAAAAACAAAACACAAATACAATAAAAACAAAAAGAAAATAAATAAAATAAATATCTAATAAACAAATTATAAAAGTTATTTTGTTTTAAATTCATTTTTATAATGAATAACATCACAATCCAAAACAAATAAACTGTTTTTACTGAAGGTCAAGATATAATTTTGAGAGATTAATGCAATTTGCTAAACCATTACCCAAACCTGAAGCACCTTTATCACCTATAAAATTTACCCTTTTTAAATATTGAAGAAAAAATAAATAATTAAATAGTTAATTAGAATTAAAAAATGAAAAAAAAATATGAAATAATTAGAAATGAATTGATAAAAGCAAATTTTGAAAATAAAAAAATGAATTAAATTAAGAAAACTAGAAAGAAAAAAACAAAAGCACAATAAAAATAAAAAGTAAATTAAATCAAATGAAAAGCTAATAAACAAATTATAAAATTTAAATTATTGTTAATTTATTTTTATAATGAAAAATATCAAAATCCAAAGAAATAAGTTGTTTTTACCCAAGAAAAAGTACCAAATCAGAAAGATTAGTGCAATTTCTTAAAGCATAACCTAAACTTGATGCACTTTAATCATGAATGAAATTCTTACTTTTTAAATATGGAAGAAAAAAAATTTTATTAATAAGCTATTTAGAAGAAAAAAGATGAAATAATAAGAAACAAATTAATAAAAGCAAATATTGAAAATAGAAAATTAGTTAAATTGAGAATGATAGAAAAAAAGCGAACACAAGTAAAATCAAATAAAAAGCTAATAAATAAGAGTTATATTGTTTTAAATTCATTTTTATATTGAAAAATATCACAAACAAAAACAAATAAGTTGTTTTTACCTAAGAAAAAGTTCTAAACTATAGAGATTAGTGCAATTTCCTAAAGCAGAAGCTAAACTCGATACACCTTAATCATCAATTTCTTAGCAACTTTTTAAATATTGAACAAAAAATATTATTTGATAAATTAATTAGTTATTTAGAAGGAAAAAATGAAGAAAAATATGAAATAATAAAATATGAATTAATAAAAGCAAATTTTTAAAAATAAAAATGGAAGTAAATTAAGAAAG